AGAGCCTAAATAACACATTAGGTGCCAGGTTGTGAACTATGTACACAAGCGTGTCACACACTGAGAAGCATGCACATAGGTGCGTGGCCAGGCAAAGCTCTATGGGCAAAGCCATATGCACATGTGCTCCCAGGTGCTTGCACACATAATCAAGCTCTAGCTTCCTGACAGCGCTGTTTTGTTGTCAAGTGCCAAAATGCACATATTTGCAGTGTAGGCAGGTGCAAAAAAGTGCATTGTTACATATGGTGTGGGCAAGTGCAGATGTGCAGCAACACTCATCGTTGCTGTGTTGGCAAGTGAAAAAGTGTGTGTTGTTGCAGTATTGATAAGTGCAAAAGGGTGCATTGCTGCAGCGTCAGCGAGTGCAGATGTACGTGCTGGTGCAGTATTGGCAAGTGTAAATATGCTAGTTAATGCGTGTTGGTGAGTGCAAAATTGCACATGGTGGTGATGATAATGAGTACATATTTTTTTGCGGTTTTGGCAATTGCAAAGGTGTGCTTTGTCGACTATTGCAGAAATACTTGGAGTTGAAGTGTGAGCAAATGCAGAAGCACACATCATTGCATTGTTGGTGATTGCATAAGTGCACGATGGTGTGATGGTAAGTGCAAACGTGTGCCTCAGTGACTGCTGTGGTACTGGCGAGTGCAAAAGTACACATTGGCATGGTGTTGGTGAGTCCATAAAAGAGTATTGGTAAGTGCACAATGACACATCAATGTAGCATCAGCAAGTGAAAATGTGCATATAGCTGTGGTATTGGCTAGTGTGAATATGTGATGTTAGCATATGCAGAAGTGCATGTCATTGTGGTGTTAGTGAGTGCTAAACTGTGTACCACCTGGGAGTTAGCGAATGCAAAAGTGCGTGTTATTGTGGTGTTGATGAGTGCAAAAAGTGCACGTCATTATAGTTCTAGTGAGTGCAAAGTGCACATTGCTGCGGTGTTGGCAAGTGCAGAGGTGCACTTTTGCCAAAAGCATGTTGTTGTGTTGTCAAATCCAGAAGTGTGTTTGGGTGCGGTGTCAGCTAGTACAGAAATGCATAGAGGTGTGATGTCGGTGAATGCAAAAGTGCTTGGAGGTGTGTTGTCGGTTAGTTTAGTGTGCATAACTGCATGTCAGCAAGTGCAATATTCCACATCAGTGTGGGCAAGTGCAATGGTGTCTAGTCAGAGAGAACAAATGTGCACTCAGTGTGTTGGTGAGTGAATTGTGTGCGGCCATGCAGTGTCAGCAAGTGCTGATTGTGATAAGGTGTAGTGGTGCCAAACTGGGTCCTGCTTGTTAGCTGAGGTGGCATGAGTGGGATCTTCTGTTGTGGTAGGGCAGTGGAGAGTACTGTAGGTTCTGGCTAATTTAGCAAAGTAATCATCTCTAGAATCTAGATGAATGCTTTGTAAATGGTAATGTGCATTGAGCTATTTGGCTACATGCACACTGCAATGAAGGGAAATGGCAACTCAGACTTCTGTCCATTGAAGGCAAGGGTATATCTCCTTCTCAGACAGGGAAATAGTGAGGAGGCATAGAGCAGGAAGAATAGATCTGGGAAGAGCATTGTGGGCTGGGCATGATGCCCGACTCATGGAGGGTCCTGGTGCTGGGTGCTCGCAGTTTACTGCATTCTACAGGAAGTATCAGCAGATTACTCTGTTGCAAACTTCCTGTGGACACGTTAAGGTGAAAATGATTCACGCCATCATTGTTACAGAACCCTACAGAGCACTTTCACCTGTGCATGCTCAGGCTGAACACTTGTGACTCTTGTTGCTTTAGGGTGGCCAAGAGTCACAAGACCTGCTGTGCACTCTGTTATTGCCCCGGAGGTGAAAGGGAGATCAGCGGTAGCTTTCCTTTACATTTCCTAGGTTTTTGCTTTAGACTATTTTAAAATGTTATTGAAAATGATCTTTCCATTTCAATCTGCAGATGCTTAGCTGTACTGTTTGTGAGTGGCTCACTGTTTTTCCCATCTGCAGTAAACCACAAATACAATTACAGACATTCTCTGCAATAGAAGTTCAGTTTTTATTGATATACTCTTTAGGATCATTTAAGGAATGTAGACACTGCAATTTTTCATTTTTACATCCCTGGGATTGTAACAGGTGACTAGAATAAGGACCCTGTCATTTAGAAATGAGTCTGAGAAAGGACATAGTGAAACCGATTGCAGTGGCTCTAGAACAGAGAAACATAAGCAATATTTCTGCAAAAAAGTTTGCTAAGATCTTTGTAATGTATTTAATTTACCTAGTGGAGATAGTTTCCATTTCCACAACAGAAGCCTGGTGTGCCAGGCCATTTGATTGCATCAGGTCTGCACTATGATCAATCAGCAAAGTCTTCTTTCACTTCAACTGAATAATCTGCAGAAATCATCACACAGGGCACATGACCCAGGACCAGTGCACTGTGGGATTACAGCTCAGAAATAATTATATGGATAATTTCATACTCCTTCCTTACGTCCTGCCTGCCCAATCAATTATTGCGTACCTTACTTTAATTTAAAGACAGTAGCAGTACATGGCAAGTAATACACAAAACTAGTAGGGATCAAGGATTATATGTGTATCGATTAGATTTCGCTGACACTTGTAAATATATTATTCAAAACTATGTATAATAAGAATGTTTTTAAAGCTTTATCACGTTGTGATGACATTTTTTACATTAAGCGGATCATATTCACATTCCCATATCTGAAAAAAGTAAAAATTAAGGTAAATTAGGTAAACATGTAATTGCTCCTTTGCACCTCACTATCCATCATTGTCAATATCATAGTTATGGATCAATAGGAAAGACTGGGAAAGGGAGGAGGAATGCAGGTATAGTTGAGATTTGTATAACAAAGTGCTCTCCAGTATGACTTGGGGGCACACAGGCATATATCTAAAACTAAATTAAGACACCTCTATGTTCCTGCTTTATGATTATGTTAGCAAATAAGTAATGTTATTGTCATGACAGTTGTACTTTACATTTTATCTAAAGTCAAATCTTTATTTTGAAGCTATGCATAGAATGTTGATGGGTTAGAACAGCAGGAAATGATTGCTGTCTGTGTCATCATGGAGAAAATTCACCCACTGTTTGTCCTGGTGACCATTGTCACTGTGATTGGAAATGAGGTTAAATACAAAACTTTGATTGTCACTGGAACAGGAATAGAGGCAAAACTTCCAATTGGGGCACTTGTTCCGATGTCTAAGACGTTGTCTTACTTTGGATAGAGTTCCTCTTACTTATTGGCATTGTAGCACTCACCCCTAAAGGAGCCGCTGGACATCATCATCATCATCGTCATCATCACTAGTCTGTCTTGGGTATGAACTTCAGCCATTAGCATTTAACCTCCCTTCTAGTGCCCACAAAGCTGATTTCCACTCCAGTAATGCAATGCTGAATAACTTTTTATTAAACTTCTTCAGACTGGGAAGAGAGGGTATAGGGATCCCAGGCTTTCAGGGTGTAACAGACATAGACTCCAGACTCACCAGATTTTTAAGTATCTCAGTGTAGATCCACTTGTGAGACAGCAGATAGTAATTGAAGTAGCAGATGAGCAGGAGATGAGTACAAATCCTCAGTAGGAGGGACACCAGCCATGCCCCTGAAGTCCTTTGAGTTCCAGGTAACTTCAAGACCCATCCATTTTTCTGGTCCTCTTCCTCTGACAGCAATACAGGCCTCCTTCATAATGGGGCCCCAGGGAAACACTTCCCACACACCAGCCTTTGTCCACCCTCAAGCCTAGCCTGGGGGGTGGCTGGACGGCACTCAACCCTAATCCAGGGCTGGTCCCAACTAGTCTGAGCACATAGCAAATCCTCCAGTATATGTACCCTATTCCAGCATGCACCACTGGTTGAGAGAAACCCAGTGATTGGCTGCTGTACTGTACATACATTTACAGTGCCTCTCATTGGCTGTCCCACAATATAGCAGAGTCACACTCCAGCCAGGGGGTTACAGTCAATGCCAGACACCTGGAATTAACCAGATAAATGCCACTATAATCCAACCAGGCTGACTACAGCCCTGGCAATCACTAAATATCTAGTAGCCACCTCACAGAGGGTGATGGAGGCTACATCATATACAGTATACAGGAAGTTAAGCAAAATCTCCCCATTGGTACTAAGATGGAAAAACCCATACCCATACTTAAGACATACATTGTCATACAGTTTAACTATGCTAATGCAATTTTGTGACCATGCATGGACACAGAACAATCATAACTGAGAGTTTTATTGAGTACTGACCATCTGGATGATAATCTCAGATCTTGAAAGTGATCAGGTAATTATTATTGTTCTCTCCTGACTAAACAGTGATAAGCCTATGTAGAGCTGCCCCAAGATGCACTGGATGTGCATGTTGCCAGATCACAGTCCAATGCAGTTTGTTTAAAATAGACAACATTAATCTCCAGGTAATGAAGTATAACACAAATAAGACAGGAATGAGGTAAAAGATAGACTGTCTCATCCCTACAGTTTTGCCTTTCCACATATACAATCATGTCATTGAAAATGTCAAGTACCACTTGGTTTGCTCATTTTATGAAATGAGCAATGTTCCAATGACTTCTTGTAACTTCCACTGTTGGGAAGGCAATACCCCAGACAATGGATGGTAAAATGTCAGTTTCCACTTTGCTGCCCTGCACTTCATTTTGGACCTGGAGACAGCTGGTCCCCAAAAATAATTGTTCAGTAATTTGTTGTAATGGGAGATATGGCATTGTCTGTGCTAACAGAATTCATCATCAAGAAGATGTAAAAATTGGGAAAAATCGATCTCATTCACTTAGAAATGGAAAAGGTTTGACTCACAAAATATTTTTAGCTAGTAGATAGACATCTTGATTATCTGTAGTAACAAGTGCATCAGTATTAACAGAAGTATGCATTTTTCTGCTTAACATTGTCATTTTATTTTCATCATGAGTCAGCCTGATGTCCTTTGCTTGCTTCCTAGGTTTTCTACCAAGTACTGGATGTCTCAGACCTGTACTGTCTGTGGAAAAGGGATGCTGTTTGGACTGAAATGTAAAAACTGCAAGTATGTTGTCCCTTTTCAATCATGTAATCAGAAGTGACCATGCAGCATAGTCCCTTGAGCAATGGGAATGGTACACCAATTTTGACAAGCGTGCTGTTATATGAAATTATTTGCCCAATTGCCAGTGTGATGACATCAATTGTTGATGAAATAAGTGCTCCAGATCAGACCTTCCAGTATACATTAAAGTGTATGTCATGGCAAAATAAAAAAAAAAGCACATGCAATGTATCTTTGAAAATTGTGCACTTTTCTCCATGTTTTATCCCTTTAAAATCCCTACAGGTACAGAAAAATACCTGATGATCTACCAGAAAGTCACTCAGATCCAAGTCCTGTTGTGGGCTGACAGCAACACAACATTTTGTGGACAAAGTGGTGTTTGTCTTCCACAGTTTTTCTTTAGTTAAACTTCTCAGGTTCACCCCCACATACTCTGTGCTAATAACTCAGTGTATAAGCAAGGAGGGCAGAATGAGCAACTAGCGTTTACAGCGTTCTAATAAATTACAGTTTACCAATCCTTACATGTGGTGGCTGCATTAGATTTCAGTGTTCAGGCTAGGAACATTTTCAGCAAGTACAGACTATACAGTACCCGTTGATCTTGCCATAAATGCAACATCTTTGTCATTTTGCGTGAGCCTATAAGAAAGCACAATGCAGCTTATCGTTACTGTGTAAACTACTAGCCCCATCAATTCACCATGGTAAAGAGATGAACAAAGGCAGACATTTCTGAAGTCCAGCCTGGGTGACAGCCATGGTTGCTCCCAGAGATACAGCGGAGAAGTGAGTATAGATACGAAGGGACAGAAATGTGTTATTTCCATTAACAGATTAAAATAAAGTAAAAATAGCCTGAAAAAAAGAAAACTAATGCAGCCACTACTTTTGATAAACTGCAAAAGGTATATTACATTTTTGTTTTTGGGTTTGGATAAACTTTAAGTATTTTGTTGCATGCCTTAGGGCTAGTGCTCAGTTACTTTTAAAAGCATTTACTATACACCGACCAGCCATAACAATATGACCACCCACCTAATATTGAGTAGGTCCCACTTTTGCCACCAAAACAGCCCTGTCCCATCAGGACTCCACTAGACCTCTGAAGGTATGCTGTGGTATCTGGCATCTAGCTGTCAGTAGCAGATCCCTTGAGTCCTGTATTTGCGAGATCGGGCCTACATGGATTGGACTTGTTTTTCCAGCACATCCCTCAGATGATCAATTTGATTGCGATCTGGAGAGTTTGGATGCCAAGTCATCACCTCAAACTTGCTTTGGTCTTGACTATTGCAGATCAGGAACATCCCACAAGTGCTTCAGTTTTGGAGTTGCTCTGACCCAGTCGTCTGGCCATCACAATTTGCCCTTGTCAAAGTCGCTCAAATCTATACACTTGCCCATTTTTTCTGCGTCCAACAAGTACAAGGACAGATACTTTTCTTATCTCCAAGACTAGATTAGGGAATAACTAAAAAGTTAGGAGGCAGCTGTCTAAGGAGCATATAGGGGGGCTCCTGTGATTTGTGCATCCCTGTTTTAATGTATGAAACATATCAGTTAACAATGCTGGAAGATAATTCATTGCAAAATATCCCTTCTGACATCATAAAACTGCCAAAAGCGTGTGAAAACTGCATAATGACAAAGAAAATTATGCACAATGAGACAATTACATGCCCCTGCTTTATGTGGGCACTGTGCAATAATAACAGACCTGATTGCGGGAAAACATTATATATATATATAGTGTAGGAAAGTCACTGGTCTTCAATCAGTATTTGGCAATAAATGCAGCTTTATTGCATGCAACGTAAAAGTCTTCTTTAAACAAACAATTTCCTGCAGAACTCAAAAGCAACACAAATAAAAAGGCCTACTCCACCTTAGGAGGCTAACTAAACAGTAGTGCCCCTTACTACGTCCTACTGGAACGGCTAGTCCAGCTTCCAGTATAAAATAACAAAAACCACAGTCCAATACATACAGTTGTTCTGGCAGACCTTATTCCCCAGATATGCAGACACTCTCCAGTCTGTGTCCACCCAGTGCAGCCTGAATCTTGCTCTGAGCTCTCTCCCCCTCCTCAGTCACTATCAGGTGCAGGCTAATTAATAGAGAGAGAGGAGGTTTACCTGTTGGCCAGGCTTAACCCTTTCCTAGCCAGGGAAAGCTGCCCTTTTCAACCTCTCACTGACATACACAGAATCGTGTACCCTGTCACAATAGATATATATATATTCCAGACCAGACCACTTGTCCACGTACTCATAGATACAAGTATAATACATTTTTGTTTAGTGTCATGTGACAGTTTTTCTAAAACAATACAGACTAATGATTTCAGGACAGTGGTGGAGCGCCAGAGCCTGGTCCCAGCTGCAACCGCGGAAGTTCTCATGAAAATGCCAAGTATCTGCACTGATATCTGAACATCCCTACTTACAACAGAACTTCAAGGACAAAATGTTCACATGCTGCCTAATATATCCCACCCACTTTTAGCTGGCATTGTAATGAGATCATCAATATTATTCACTTCACCTGTCACTGGCTATAATGTTACAGGTGATCAGTGTATGTTTATAACACAAAACTGACTTTCCATAATCTCACTGTGTACTGTTTTTCCCCCAACATTTAGATGCTTGACTGGTTGAGGCAGCATTAATATAAACCATTAGGATTTTGAAGAAGACATAGCTGGTCCTTTGTATACAATAAGCACTTACTTCTCACGTCTGTTGTGTTAATTTGGTTTAATTTGACTAATCCTCCAATTGTAGTCTTGTTTATGCTGGTTCTATACAGTATTGAGGTATAATAATCATAATTGCGTTTCTCTATTTTATAAGAATACAGAAAAAGGGGCTTTTTAACATAAATTTCAGTTAATTTCAAAAGGTCGGTTTAATTATTAGAATTCCAATCATTTAGTTTAATGGTGTGTCTGTCTCTACAAGTCAGCGCTTTGTAGGGAGAAGCATAGCTAATATGCCTTGTGGCTGGTTCTGCCTTTCTTGTGCCTTTTATTTTCACCTTCACACTTTAGACTTAACAAATAAATCTAATGGCCAAGAACAGTCAAGAGCACACCACTAAATAATAGGTCTTTTTCACTATGTACTGCCGAGACATCATTGAGATGCTTGACTCTGTTTTGTGTTTGGAAATAACCTTCACAAAGTTCTCAGCAGCTGGGAATGTAATTGACGGAACTCAATTTTAAGAGAAAAAGATGAAAAGCAGAAAAGAAAAATCAATTTTCAAACCGATGGTCATTTAATCACACATACTGCCTAGAGCAAAGCACAGATGAACAGGTACCTGCACCTGTAAAACAACTTTGCGGCAAAAGGGTATTCTTCTTCACCCAATAGAAGACCACTCTGTAAATTATTTACCCCACTGGCTAGATCTTCTTTTTATTCACTGATCTGGTGAACTCAAACTGGCCACACACATTACTATATTATTGTACAATAACTTTCACATGTACCTACTGCTCAGCCATTGTACAACATAGTTGTTTGTAAATATGAATGAGAGATTGTTCAATCAAATGTCCAGCTTAAAGCTCTCATTTACATAGGATGTTTGTCAATTGATAACTGTCTTTTCAGGGATGTTGGGCAGCTTTTAAAATATGGAGCACAGCAGACTAGGAATGTTTCCATTTAGCTTAAATTGTATTGAGTGGCTAGAAATTTAGGCTCAGTGGACTAGGTTTCCACCTGCAGTCACTTCTTAACCGTATTCAATATGCTAAGTTTGCCATGTGTACAATCTTTTTGCTAAGTGTACAGACTGTACTGTGTAGCAAATCAACCCCACTGAGTGTGGAAGTTAATGTGCTTGTGGGCATTATTGATTTTGAACTCTATTTACTAAATTAGTAGAGAATGCTCATGTAACAAAAAGATTGTTTACTTTGCAAACTGAATGTTCAATTTACTAAGTGCCGGTTCACTGGTCTTGGTAAATAAGGTAAAGAAGTGTTAATTTCTGTCATTTACTCATGTGGAAGAAAGTCCTGTTTCTGCATTTATCTTGCACATGATTGGGTATTCAATGTACCCTGTTTGTAAAGAATACATTCACTGTCAGTCTTCACTTCTTGAGTAAAATCAACCCTTATGATCGACAGAGACTGAGACAGAAGATACATGTTTGTAGCATTTGTGGGCAGTAGCAAGTCGTAGCAAGACGTATATTGGAGGGGACTTAAAACAGTATATGTATCTGAATACATGAAGGGAACACTTTCACCTGCCTTCCAATGTTCTGAGATTGGAAAGAATCCTTTAGCACAAAGTGTTTATGAAAAGACGCACCCCATGCCACGTCACCAGTAAAATAGATCATGAGGAATTATTAAGCAAAAAATGATTTGAATAAATCTACATGTTCTTTATTCATCACTATATTTCCTATATATTGGCTTTTTAAAATAATAATGTGATAGTAAAAAGGTCTATGTAAAGGTTTAGTGAAGTGTAACACATGTGTTAGTTATGTATTGCATTTATCATAGGGGTCTACATATCTGTCTAAAAAGAGGGACAACTGAAGAGGAGAGAGAGACAGAGGGACTTGGTTCCAAAAAGAGGGACAGTCCCTCCAAATAAGTTGGGATTTTTTTGCTTTCATGAACTATGCAGAGAATCTTCTTTTTAATAACTGCATACAAAGCCAACTTAAATAAGATTATGGTAATTTGTAATCAGGGCCACAATGTATATCTGGACAAGTGCAGAGACTGAAAATATTTGATTTTGCTTTGTTTACCTGTTTGATTGGTATGCAAATAAGGCTTTAGAAAGCAAAATAACTGCCTGCAAATGAGAAAGGGTGCAGTTTGAGAGTAAACTGTGTTTTCAGAAATAAAAAAAGGTTTTCATGCTGATGCATTTGAAATCTCTTTGAAATCGGGCCCGTTTCTCAGTACAAATTTTAGAACCAAAGATAATGAGAGGAATATCTCCTAGAAACTG